CCTATATATATATATATATATATATATATATATATATATATATATATATATGTTTAGTAACTTGAACATATATATAAAAATTTAGAAAATTAATTGAATGTGATATACGTAAGAAATATGAATAAGTTGTATCAAATGGTTGATGATGAAAAAGAAATTATGAGTAATGTACCAAAGTATCAACCCGACCAACCCGTACGATTTGAGTTGGGTTGGGTTGTATTTTGATTTAAGTTGGGTTGGGTTGTATTTTGGTTTGGTTTGGATTGGGTTATACTTTGGTTTGAATTGGATTGGGTTAAGATTTTTCAAACCATAAGAACTGGATTTGATTGTTGACATGTCTTCAACTCAACCCATGAACATCTCTAATCTATATAAACCAAATTTATAGTTCACTATGTTGTTTAATTTAATGTAGTTATTCACACAAAACAAATACTGTCGTGAACTTTTGTGATCTTTATGCTGTTTTTTATTTAAATATTTAATTTTTTAAAATAAAATTTTAATATTTTATTGTGAATATTTGGTACTTTTTGCTATACAAATTTGGCAACATTCAAATTTTCTGAAGTAGTTTAACAATTTCAGGAGAGGTAGGTGTCCATTTTCAAATCATAATAAATGAATTTTCATTATTTTTATAAATATCTCAATATTGAGTTACATTGGTTGTACAAATGTGATGAGTTGCATTTGAAACGTCATATATATATATATATATATATATATATATATATATATATAACAAGAGGTTGGTTATTATACAACCCTTGACATTTGTGCAACCAATACAACCCAATCTCAACCGTCCATTTCATTTGATTAATATGTAATTTCATAGAAATTTTGGTTGTTTTCTAATATAAAGTATTGATCATAATTAATGAATCATATTCATATTCCATAAATATTCAAATCATAATAAATGAACTCTCATCATTTTCATAAATGTCTCAATTTATTGGGTTGCATTGGTTGTACAAATGCGATGGGTTGTATTTGAAACAAACTCTATATAACAATATCAAAATAAATAATATATGTATGATCTGATTTATTTAAATTTTTTTAAAAACTAATCATATTAAATACGATTAAATTTTATTATTTTATTGTAATGATAAAAAAGATATGGTCTTAATGTTTTAATGTAATTAAAGATTTAATTTAAACAAACTATATGTTATTTTATTTAGAGTGAATAAAATAAAATATGGTTTTATGATTTGATTTGTTGAAATTTAAAAAAATAATTATGTTAAAGATGACTTAATTTTATTGTTCTTTTTTCTATCTTTGCAATAAACAAGTTTATTATCGATATTTTAACATCAAAATAATTGAAAACCACTAAGAAATGAACTCCAATTTTATCATCCTAAAATTGTGTTTCTAGTTCTATATTGTTTTCGTTCAAAAACTCAAAATCAACTGTTTAGTTTTTAATCAAATGAAAGATCCATATATATATATATATATATATATTATCTTTATAACTTAAAGTTGAACAGATCCATATATTAACTTCAATCAGGTTTTCATACTGAAATAGATAAAAATACTAAAACAATAAATTAAATGGTATTGATATTTAAGGTTTTATATTTGAATATCTTTGCTATGCATTTTATAACCTTGTTGCTACTCCCCTGAAAAATAAGGTCCCCTCTGTGAAATTGATATTCCTCGGTGAAACAACACTATCACTCAGACGCCCACTCTTGTCATCTCTGTTTCAAACCAAATGCACATCTTTTGTTTCTCACTTTCTTAGAGGCTGTTTGTCAATTGCTGAATAGTTTGGTGCAGAATGATTAAGTGGTCGAAATGATTAAGAGACTCTCATGATATAATGCAAAATGAAATATAATTGTTTGGTAATCGTGTACACTGAAATTGGGGATCTTAATAATTAAGAGAGATCCATGATACAAATCATTCAGAGGGTTTTAGAACCATTAAGAGATAGTCTTCTTTTTTTTACCAAACAAGATTCACCTCTTGACGATTCAGATATTGCCTCTTAATGGAACTATTAAGAGGTAAACAAACAACCCCTTACCCATCATTATTCATCTTTTTATTGAAATCTTAAATCAAAACAAATTTACTCCGAAGATCTTCCCGTTTGGAAACATCTTTAAGCAAATCCCACTTCATATTAACTAAAGAAAGTATTGAATTCAAGTCGTTTGAAATGCTTCAATTGCAATTAACGGTCAGTATAATCAGGTATACAACTTTAAATTAAAATTTAGTTAAATTTTCCCATGAATACGTGCTTAGAGGTCATATTAAAGTTATATATACTTAAATGATCCTCATCAGTTATCGGTTGTTTTGCAACAAATGGTTGAATTCATATAGTTTATGATAATTGCAATTGCAAATACTAAATTTATGAAACTATACAACAAGTGATGATATATAGGGATGGAGTAGCAACAAGGTTTCTGTTTCCTTAACATACCATTAATTTTGTTACAAATTAATAATAATATTAAAATATTTCGAGGAGATTCTGCACATATAATAATAAGGAAGGAAAACAGTGGTCTAGTGGAACTTAAGGCTGGTCAAGACATTGTTGTTGACAGGGTCAGCCAAATGGTCCAGAAGGTTCTGGAAAGGTCCAACCCCAGTCACCAGACCTTGAATGAAGTAACCCAAGATGGCTAACATAGCCAATCTACCATTCTTGATCTCCTTTAGCTTCAATTCCTTCATTGATTTCTCATCTTTCCCAAACCCTAATGGGTTGAAAAACGGCCCACCCGGGTATGCTGGATCACCCGACCCGGAAAACCCCTTCTCTAACCCCAAGAAGTATTGTTTCCCCATTGAACCTGGGTTGTACCAATCTTGGAACCTTCTGTGCTCTGCAAAACCCATGAATGCCATTTCCATGACGAATAGGGTGTAAGGGTCAGCCCAGTAGTTATAAGTGCCGGCTGGGGGAATGACACCGGTCTGGAACCAGGGGAGGGCGGTCTCAGCTGGGATGAGCCCAAGTTTGCCGAAAATCTCTGGTGCAATGGCTCCAGCTGCACCCAACATGGCGAACCGTCCATTGATAACCTCTCCGTAAGCTAGCCACCTGGGTTCGATGAACCCTCCGGTGCCTTCTGGGTCTGAGAGACCAAGTGGGTCGAATCCAAAGTCACCTGGGAGACTGTAGATTCCAAGATTCATGAGAAATATATTGAACCAGTTCCATATTGACTTTCAAGGTCAAATTTTGATCTTCAAAATTGAAACTTTTGATTCTATTACCAAACAAGCACGTGTCTTTATCTCTTTCTAGCACTTTATTTTCTCAGAAACTTTGAACTAGCACTCATGTCAATCTTTTAAGTTGAAAATCAACCTATAACAAAGCCGGGTTTATAAGACATCAAATAACTTTTAGGTGTTTTATAAAAATATCAAGAAAACATTTGTTACGACGTCAGAAAAACGTGTTATAAACTTATTACAACATCTCTTAGATAGAAAGTTTTGTTGTTTGATTCTATCAATTAAGTTTTATAAAGGAATCTATTAGGATGATTAAACATTTTTATCCCAGTTTTATTGCAGTGGCAATTGACTCCAAAATTCAAAACTATATCTTTCTTAATGGAATGAAACAGTGTATATCAAGATTCAAGATTTTGCTATGAATTACCTCCCATCCAAGTAAGAGAGAGACTGCTTGGATGCAAACCACAGTTGTCTGTTAGCTCCTTGCTGATACACATAGGACAAGACATCAAGTAATGATCAAACTCACACACACACACACACATAATACATATATACATATATATATATATATATGACAGTGAGCATAGATAAGAGCATGCACCTTAACAGGAGGAGTGGAAGCAGCTTTGACAAGAAAGGAGAGCTTTCTTGAAGGGGACTGAACAGGCCTTGCTCCAAAGATTTGTCTAGCAGACTCCACTGAGGAGGTGAGTGATGAAGATGAGACCAAAGCTTGAGTTGCCATGATCAAGATCTTGGGTTTCTTGAAAAGATTTGGGGTTGCAGTGCCACCATGAGGGAAAGGGAGGAGGAAACATAAGGGCAAAGGTTGTGGGCCTGGTGGGATTGAGGTTGTGGTTGGTGTTGAGTCACCCTGAATTTGCAGATGAGGTTTGGGATCATCTGTTCCAATCAGGTTTGCACATGTGTCATCTCTTACTTGGATAAGAGATTTTTATCTGTCTTCTCCTCTTACCATATTGGTGGCCTTGAATTGCCTATTTAGTTGTTGGTAAGATGTATTCAATTTTATCAAATTCATGTATTAGTTTTGATGGATAAAATGTTTATCTTGTAATGTATGATAATATGAATATTTGTTTATGATGTGGTTACAAAAGAGTTACAGTAAAGCAGAGGATAAACTTGATATTTATATGTTATAAAATCAGTAAGTTAGCAATAAAAATAGAAAAAAATTAGAATATATTAAAACTTTGTTACAACAAAAATGAGATTTTCAAACTTTATTACAGTGATCGAGAAAAAAATAAGATCGAGTTGGTAAGAACTATTTCATTTCTATGATAGATGATCAGTCACACTGGAACTGAGACACGACCTAGACTCGTAGATTTTCTTTTATGAATTGTGCAATTAATTTCAAATAAGTCGTAAAAAATGCAAAATGAAAAAGTCGTCTAATTCAAAACCCATCAATATTCTTTTTCTTTCTTTCTATCATCCTTCTATATTGATATTGTTTACCAAAAACACAGGTCTCGGCAAAGTCGTCCCTTGGATGAATAGAGAGGGAGGGCAAAGCTTTTAGTTTTTCAAGAGGTTCCTTTTTTAGGGTACTTCTGGGAGCTAGAGTATCATAAGAGTTTTCGCTGGAGCAGTGAAATGCGTAGAGATAGGAATTCCACGTTTGAAAAAAAGAACCTAGGGCGTAGTTTGTTTATTTCAACTCATTAACTAATTCATTATGGGATTGATTGTTTTCCATACAAAAATCTCTATTTGATAGGGTTTCTTCCTATACTTATGACTTCCATTGCACCCACGGGTCGTGAACTTCTTTTCCTGGAGAAGAAGCAATAACGGTACTACATCAACCTCGCATACCGGGTAATATATACTCATCCGTCTGCCACTAGAAACACCACTTGGTGTCCAACTTGCATGTGGTGAAATGGTAGACACACGGGACTCAAAATCTCGTACTAAAGAGCACCCAATTTTTTCGATTCTCCAAATAGAACTAAAGCAAATTGCAGTGTATTACATTTTGCTCTTTAGCTAGATGGTTCCTTGTATTTTGATATATTTTACCCTTTAGTAAATTTCAGTGTATTTTCAAAATAAATGGGCTCCCATCAATTTCCGAACGGATAAAAAATGGCTCAGAAAGAGGTTTGTTTTCTGATATAAACTACTTTAGTTTTGCACCATTTTAGCATAGATTAACCACCTTCAGAAAACGCTCCTTGGGTTTTTTTATTAAAACCCTAACCGCCCACCTTTGCAAGCTTACGAGTAGTTGGCTAAAATGCAATGTAAAGCTTTATTTGATGTATTTCGTCAGTTAGATGTGTCATTTTGAACAATACATGTTGAATAAACCACCCAATTTGTACAAACTATGCAAACCACTCTCATCCGTTGATTTCATTGTTTAATCTTATGAAATTTTATAGATCTAAGTACTTTTTGGTTCAAAAAATGTTTAAGAACTTAATCGTTCAAAATATGAATGTTCATTGGCTTTTTTTCAGACTTTTTTTTTATTATTTTACCACATTAACCAGTTGTATAAGCTATAAGGATGTATCCAACATGTTTTAGAAAGTCCAATGAGTTATTCAACATGTTTTGAAATGTCCAAGAATTTATTTATTCTAAAAAATTATTTAAAAACTTAATTATTCCAAACACTAAAGTCCATTGAAGTTTTTTAGACTTTTCTCTATTTTAAATGGTAAAACGTGAGAAGATTCTGAGAGAAAAAAATTAATATTTTTTATCTTTGTTTTAGGTAATAAAAAAAAACAGAAAGCATGTACCCAATTGAAATATAACAAGTAAAAGCATTTCACGTAGATTATTGAAAATGAAAAAGAAATTGTTTTTGAAGTTTTTCAGTATATTCCCTTGGTTTATTCAAAATGAAGAAAATTTAAAGGATTTTCTAAAGTTTATTGCAAATAGAGAGAAATGTTTTTTTTTTTTTTTTGTATTTTTTGAATATTTTAATAATACTAGAAGAGTATTTGTGCAATGCAGCGAGATACATCTCAATTTTAATATGCTATTTTATTATTTGTTTTGTCGATGTTATAATACGATTTTATGTGTTTTTAAGAAAACAATAATGATTTTTTTTTTTTGAATAAAATACAAATTTGAAAATATCATAAAAATTTTAAAAAAAATATATCAATGTCAATATCAAATCAATTATTTAAAAGTTCTCATTTTTTATGTAATTTATTTAATTTTTTTATTATAATTTAATTTAAGTTTAACAATAAAATAATTTATTTTTGGTTTAATAATATAATATTTTATAAAGATAATAATTAAGTATTCTATTAAAATTCAATGATTATCTCAATTACATATTTTTTTATATTTAAAATGAGATGTTTATCATGTATTTAATTATGTTTATTTGCAGTTAGTTACACGAATTCAGATATGAAGCTTTAATAAGTTGTACTTACGCACAATCTACTTGCAATCTTGAGTTTTAGGTAATATATGCATTAATAAACAATATTTTATGCATAAAAAATGGTTTTTAAGAGTTTTTATCAAATATTTTATAATATAGTATAGATAATTAATATTAAAAACTTGTTTAGTTGAATGTAATTTCTTTAGCTTTTATTTATTTCTTTTTAGAGTATTTAATTATGGAGTTGGAAATGTTTGATAGAAATTAAAATAAATACATTTCTATGTAATAGACAAAAGGGTCTTCAGTCTATTATATTATCCATGTTATTTAATAGATCCTAATTTTTATTTTTATTAACCTGGATATCTAACTTATTATGCGAGCCGGTTAATCTCAGGACTACCCTTTGCTTTACGGATAGCCCGGACTCACCACATTTGAACCTCTGTGGTTTCAAAGGGATTTTTATGCCTAATTGAATTTGAACTTGAGACCTCCAGGCACTTTGACTTTTGGATCTCAAACTCAAAACAATCAGACATCATCCTTTGGTTTCTTAAGTTTTTTTTTAAACACTAAAATTTTATATTTTATTAAAATTGAAATAATTTATATTTATTTGTTGTATATAAATATTATATATTAAAATAATATATAATATGATTACAGTTATAGTGATGACATGTATGTATGTATCATTGGCATACTTACTTTTATGAAGTCAAACTTTAAAAACCAAATATTTTCTAGAATATTTATTTATTATATTGGTTTTAAATAAAATTCAGCATAATTATTAACAGCAAGTCTATAGCTTCAATTACCATTGAAAATCAATACATTTGCTCATTGAAAATAATTAAGTTTATATTTGAATAAAATTTAAATATTTATCATCCATAATTAAATATTAGAAGGATACTCGTGCAATGCATCGACACACATTTCAATTTTAATGTTTTGTTTTGTTTTTTTATTTATGTTGATATAATACGATTTTATATGGTTTTGAGAAAACGATAATGTTTTGTTTTTGAATAAAATATAAATTTGAAAATATCATATAAAATTTACAAAAAACATATCAATATTAATATCAAATTAACTATTTAAATTCATTGATATTATCACACCATTATTAATAACTTAAATTATCATTAAACATAAAATGGTAGAGTGGAAACGTCTATTGAAGACATTATAAAATATATGAAATTCAATTTAATATATAGGTTAATTTAATATTTAATTATTAGTGAAAATTATCTTAAAAACATAGATAAATTAATAAATCAAAACCAATATCATTTACTATTAATATTAGGCCAAAATCAAAAAATACTAACATACTTTCATAATTCTTTTTATTATAATATTGTATTTTCAGTTTTTCTTATTATAACAATGTACATTCAAACTATTTTGTGGTAAAACGTTGTAATTTGAAATTTTTTATTATAGGATTGAGTAACTTTTTGATTTAAATTTACATTTTATACCAGGTTTTCATACCACCTTACTGTCTATGTAGGTTGTTCACATGTACTATAGTGATATCACATTTTTTATTACATCATTGTACTTTCAAAGTTATTTTATTATAACATTTAACAGTTCTTATTACACTATTATATTTTTAATTTTAATAATTTATTATTTAGACATTTTACATATTATTTAATAAATATATTAAATGAATTAGAAAATTTCTAAATTATTCATTAATATACCAATATTAATAAAACTAGTTATCTCGCTAACATTTTTAAAAAATATGTGTTTCTAAAAAAAAGAAAAAAGAATTGTTATTTTTTTACCAAAAAAAATATTATCCTTTAAAAAATATATCATACTTGTTTAAAAAATATTGCTTGACAGATAAATATATAAAGTTAACTAGATTTTTTTAATTATTTATTAGTATAACAATATTAATAAAATTGTGAATCACAATTTATCACCCTAACATCTTAAAAATAACTTTAAAAGATATGTATTTTTTTTTGATAAAATAAAAGAAGTGCAACATTTTTACAAACAAAATAGTTATCTCAAAAATAATAAATCATATTTATTTAAAAAATATTTTAAATAAAAAGTCAAAAAAATTAAATGTTTTTTTAAATCATTGCAATGAAAAATGAAAATCATTAATAATAATTTGAAATAGTTTTTTTTATTTTTTAGCCATGTTATCAAAACGATGTGTCATCCACATCATCTCATTAAAGTCAAGCAAGCAAAAAAGGTAAAATAATTAACCGGTTTAAAAGGTAACATGTTACTCATTGCTGTAATGAGTAAATTTTTCAAAATATGATACCCAAATAAAACATAATTTGAAAATACATTGTTGTAATAAGAAAAAATAAAAGTAGAATGT